TCATATTCATCAACATTATTATCAAAACTATCAATATAATCATTAACATCATCATGTTCATCATCTTTAGGTAATTCCTCATCAAAATTACCAAACCTTCTTTGCAAATGTTCATGATAAGGATCTAATCCACTATTACTATCAATATTAAAAAAAAATTCATCAACATGCGTATAATCATCCGTATTTATTCTTAATTGAGAAGATTTTTTAGTTTTAGATTTAGAAGTACTACCGTTTTTTTTTTCTTGGATTCTGAGCTCCATAATTTAGTGATCGAATCAACTATGGTTGTTTTACCCTTGTCAACATTGTTTTTACTGGAATCCATATTCAAATATAAAAAGTGAGTAAATTATATATAATACGAAAATATAATGCAAAGTTTTAAACAAATAAATAACTAAATAAGTAGAGACTAGAGACTAATTACTCACAAAATAAATAATTAAATGCAAACAAATAAATAACTAAATGAAAAGTGAGTTGGAACGAATATACCAAACGTCTACTTAAAAAAGTAGACGTGTATGACCGAAAGCCGAAATTGAAGCTCTAATTTCCAAAGACCAAATTCATATTTTAACGAGAATAAGAGATTAGAGAGTAGAGACTTGAGTGAGGCTTTTGAGAGAGCAGAAAATAATATTTTTGTGAGTGAAAAGAATGAAAGATTGAGGGTATTTATGGTTAAAAAAAAAGGATGAAAATGTAGTTTTTAGAAAGTTGGGGTATTAAAAAAAGTTTGGGGGAGTTATTGGGGTGAAATAGCCGTTGGTGGGGCCCAAAACCCATTGCCCAACGACTCTCAAAACGGCTATATTTAACATTTAAAAAAAAAAAACTTTACTGGACCAGAACCGGGACTAACCGGTATATCCCGGTTTCCGTCCCATTACCCCTCCCGGACCCCCTAGACACCGGCCCTAACCGGTACAAGCGAGAACGGAACCGACACCTCCCAATTCCGTTGCCAGCCATACGTACGGCCAGGGGTGATGCTCTCAACATGATTTTCTCCATCCATATAGGGTAACACAGGAATACTTTCTTTGAGTTTTTGGTATTGCCAAAGTTAACTTTACTATAATGACTCCGTAAGTCATACTCACTGAATTTTACGAACATCTTACAAAATTGTCTCATTACATTTGAGTTCGATTCTCAACTATGACATTTTAACATTTTTTGAATTACAGCTTACATCTTGTTCTACTTTTAACCCAAATGGAAGGATAAAAGCTTCATAATAAGAAAATGGGCAGTCTTTAGGAATAAATTTCACAATAAGACTGTACAATCTTATTATCAAAACAAAGGGTGTCATTTTTCTTAAATGTTGTTTGAATGGTCAACTTCAATTCACCTGAAAAGACAGACAAGGTCTGAAATGTGAATGTATGCCTGCCTCCAATGTAAATTTTAGATCTTGAAATAATTAAAACCACAATTTAAAAGTGGAGAAAAATTTCTTTTGTTTTTTGTATCCAATTCACTTAACTTAGCCATTTTTAAAAGAGCATCATTTACTATTAATTTTCCGAGACAGATGTCAAATCAATTACTACTTAAATCACAATTAATGCTACTTTGAATGTTCAATTTAAATACTATTAACTATAATAGTTAATTTTTCCATATTTAATTAATTTACACATTATTTTACCCGAATCTCCAACATTTCTTTTCGTCCTTCACCTTTTTCCTGCAAAATTCCTAATAACCCTTACATATTTTCTTTCCATTTTCATAAATTTAGTTTCTTCTTTTAAGCTTTGTACTTTCTTCTGCAGTAGCAGAGTATCAGTCAGTCATTAGATTTACACTGCACATGGTCAGATGATCTTTCTGTAGATACTACTAATTCTAGCATTTGCTAATTTTCTGAGTTTGTACTTTTCTTGGTATTTTGTTTGTTGTATATATTAACATTCGGAGAAAGGATTTTATTTTGATTATCTTGTAATTCTGGGGTTTTGAGTTCTTGAAAAAAAATATTTTTCTGCTGTTTTGGGGGCTTAAGTTATTTGGAGTTGTCTTCAGGGTTTAAGGGGTTTTGAGTTCTTGAAAATAAAATATTTTTGCTGTTTTGAGGGCTTTAGTTATTTGGACTTGTCTTCAGGGTTTAAGGGGTTTTGAGTTCTTGAAAAGAAAATCGTTTTGCTGTTTTGAGGGCTTTAGTTATTTGGAGTTTTCAAGGTTTAAGGGGTTTTGAGTTCTTGAAAAATAAAATCTTTTTGCTGTTTTGAGGGTTTTAGTTATTTGGAGTTGTCTTCAGGGTTTAAGGGGTTTTGAATTCTTGAAAAGAAAATCTTTTTGCTGGTTCGAGGGCTTAAGTTATTTGGAGTTTTCAGGGTATTGGTTATTTTATTATTGTATATATGAGTGGAGGAGAAAGGAGTTAGTAGTTCTGGGGTTACACCTAAAGGAGATGAAGCTCCTGAAAGCTACAGAGTAGCCCCAAGAAGTGAAAGTAATAGTAATATTGAGTTTAGTGGATCGACTCTGGCAAAAACACCAGTGAGTGTGACAGGAGAGATGACGAAGAAGAAGAGGGCAAGACCTAGGGGCTAGGAAGTATGGACCAGATGGTAAAGTAGTTGTTGCATTGTCACCAATGCCAATATCAGATACAATTCTTCTTGCTGGAGATTTTTCAGCTTGGAAAAACAGTGGAAGTTGCCCAGTTGATTCCTTCAAGAAGAAGAACAAGTTTGAGGTCGAAACTACAGGTAGCATTTCCCCCAGGCTGTTGTATGTTTTAAAGTTTCGATCGAATGATACTTAATGCTTGGTTAATGAGATTAGGATTTTGTAAATGTTAGTTTATGCGGCTGAAATAGTTCTTGTAGCCTCCCGCAAGTCCATAGAAGAGCTCCCTTGCTTAGGGTCAGCCTTCTAATAGAAAGTCTACTGCTTTCCCCCAATCAAACCAAAACTCTAAATGGGACTTATGCATGGTAATGTCATAAAACTTTTCCCCCGATCTGAAATATAGTCTGTTAACCATTGTTGAAGGTAGCAATGCAATTAGGTGATGTTAAAGAAAAGAGAAAAAAGTTTCCTATAATCGAATATCATGAGAAAAAGGTTGCCTAAAGGCCTAGACGGGACTCTAGGAAGTTACCTTGGGAGATGTGCGCGGGTGAATGTTTTCTGCAGTATTTGTGGAGATGTGCGCGGGTGAATATTTTCTGCAGTATTTTGTTGTGTCTCGGAGGTAAGTAACTATTCTACTTTTTTGAAAAGATTCAATTTCTTCATATATGTTCAGATGTGCAAATATTTAAAATGTTTTATGTGAAATATGTGTGGTCATGAGTGACCTGGATAGTATATGATGGTTGGATAACCGTATGAGATTGCGATTAATGGGATTGCGTAGGTTGAAATTTTTGGATAGCTCTAGTTACTCGGGAAATTTTAGCCAATTTTTAAAAAAGATTTTGGGAGTTAGCCAAATTTTGGCTCCTTGAGAGGAAGGTGAATATGGAGGCCTAAGGATCTCTTTTAGATACATATGAGACGAATGTCATTTAGGGGGGGAGGGGTGTAAAGTCCCATAAGTTTTTAGGCTTACAATTTTGATAAAAACGGGTTTAATGATTAAGACAAATTTAAATAATGATAGAAGAATGAAAATACTGAAAAGACGAATTTACGGTGCTACATAAACGGGGAGAGGGAGTATTTGTTTTACTTTGGCCATGAGAATTATTCACTTTTTTCCTAGAGTTTTTTTTCTCACTCTATTTAAAAATTTGCATTTGGCCATGAATATTGTGTTTGGAATTTGGAGATCACCCAAAAGCTTGTTTTCACCTTTTCAATTTCACTATATTTTTCTTCTTCAAATTTTAAATTTTTTATTTTTTATCAATATATCCTATTTAAATTATATTTCATATTTTAAATCATATTTCATGTTTTTTAAAGGATAATCACATTCAAGCAACCAAACATTATTTGCAAACACTATAACCAAACACAAATCCATCTTTAACTTCAATTTCAAAAAATTTCAAATGAGATCTAATCTATGACATTAACTTGAAAATAATTGCTTGAAGATTAAAGTAATAACTTACACCTCGTGAGCAACAATTTAAACTATATCACTAAGTCTTACTTATGGGATATTTTATGACTCTTGCCGGCTTTACAAAGTCTAATTTATAGGGGTACTCTATAACTTTTGCATTAGGGGAAAAGCGTAGCTCAGGGGCCTTAAAAAAATAACTTGTGCCTCACGGGCACCCTTTTACACTATTTCACTAAATTTAACTTATTGGGTACTCTATAACTTGTACCTAATGGGCAAAAGTTAGAACTTATGTCTGATGGTCAACATACCTATGTTCTAACTTTTGCCTATAAGACAAAACTTCTAGTTCTTTGTGCAGGTTTAATGTCTTGAATGTCTGCCTTATGTAAAAAAGTTGGACCATCGGATGAAAATCCTTTGTGAATTGGAATGACCATCTTTTCAAGGAACCTAGTCAACATGATTAACAGTGGACATTGTTTTCTTGTTCTTTTTCTTGGTCATAGCAAATGACTGCTTTCAACAAATTTTTTATGCTATGAAGAGTGAACATTCCGTCTTTTTGTCAAGGAGAAAAGGTTTTGATGTTTTTTAGAACTAGAATTCAAAGTGGAGATGTCATGTAACACTGGTCTCCATATGTGTATAGGCCCGAACCCAATGATTTGTAATTTGTATGTATGTGTTGAGATCAATTCCTAATTGTTAAAAGTGTATTAGATGTGAATTAGTCATATGGATAGGATAGGATTGTGCTATTGGTTCGAGCGACTCCGCAAAAAGCTCCTGATTAGGGCTTAGAGATTGGATCCAATAATGAAGTTCGTCCTTTACCATGACAGGGTATCAGATGGCTCTGGCAAGGTGGGCAAGATATTGTATCATTATGAGGCTCATGTGATGGTTGTCGGTTAGAGAAACTACCCAAGAAAAGTAAATTATATATTTTCAGTATTTGTTACTATTACATGCATAATCAATTGTAAAGTTTGGTTGTTAATGTACACATGCATGCTTTACTTTTCAGTTGACTATTTTATAGTCTACCTTTAGAAAGTCTTTCAATCTAGTATATTCAGTTTAGCTAGTTGTTTCATTCAACTATTTTACATAACGTACATTTCATGTTTTGACGCCATTTGGCGCTGCATTTTTAAATTATGCAGTTTTAGATTTTTAGGATCTGCAACATATGCTTCACTAGGGTTTTTCTCCATCAGTATTTGATGAGACCTCTTTACTTCTAAAGGGATACAATTTATCTAGTTATTCAATACTTTGTAGTCATGGCTAGTGGAGTATTCACATAACCGGGGATCTTGTCCTGACACGTATCTTTAGTTTATTAGAGGTTTCATAGACGAGTTAGATGAGAAAGTTAAGTAATTGTATTCAGATGTATTCAAACACACATCATTATTATTTAGACTTTTAGATAAAGTTGTTGAGATGATTTTGTTTTTATTTAATTATTGTGATGCTCATCTATTATAAAGCTTTTGCGTAAGTCGTTAAGTCTTCCGCATAGTAGTAAGCCAGTCCAAGTATTCTCTTGGGACCAACAATGGTTCTGAGTGCCGGCCACGTCCGGGGTGTAGGCTCAAGGTGTGACATTTTATATCTCATTTTCTTTGAATTAGGGTCTACAGTGCATTGCTATTGAATATTTGGCACTTTTAATCACATTACTACACTGTTCATTCTTTTTTTTGCCATGAGTTAAGGCATAAAGTTTTCTCCTTAGAGAATATGTAGTCCAATCCACATTGTTCTTAGCTACATGTGTTTGGCTGAAATTGTCTTTCGATTCCAGGGTGTATATGTATTTTTTCTACTCGAGATCTTTGAATTTAGACCTCCTTAAATTACTATGTAGGAATTACCACATAGATGGCCACAAGATTTAGCGAGCAGAAAGAATACGGGAAAGATTACTATTTATCTCAAATGACCAGATAATACACCTAGGCCTGTCATCTATTGTGAGAATTTTGTTTCTATGGTTTTGTTAGGAAACTGACATTATTTACTAAAGTTTATGGCCTTAAACCTGGAGGTGAATGTCTATTCCAACTTTCAAATCGGTCAAAACATATGTTTACTATACATGGATCCAACAAGGTAGATGTAACTCAAACTACTTTGAGTTGATTATTGTGAGGCAGTTGTGAGAACAATAATCAACTCACATTACATTCTTCTCACGGCGAGGTGCTCGGCTTTTTGAATTAAGCTCCAATTAATATTAAAAACTTAAAATATGTAATTGCATATATAAACATCCTAAATCTCAATAGCAATAACGTATATCGAAGAAGAAAGAAAAAGAGAGAGGAAGACTCGCAGGTTTGCTAAAACACCAAATAAACCCTAATATTGCCTTTTAATTATCAAATTAGGCCTCTCTTTTTTTTTAAAAAAAAGGCGATGCCTTTGCCACCTTGCCTCATCGTGTCGACACTCGCCTTTTATCGCCTTTTTAATCTCTCCTTGCCTCGCCAGGAATAGGCGACAAGACCTCGCCTCTAGCCAAAGGCGATAAGACGCTCGCTTTCACAACACTGGAAGGACAATTTCCAAAGAAAAGTGGAAGCAAATACAACTTTTATTACACATCAGACAATCAGATTTTAGTCCACAAGTCTTTCAAAAATCAAAACAAGAGGAAAGCAATTGCAAAGTAAGAAGACAATTACAACAGAGGCTAGATTCAAACCAAAGCTTACAGGAGGCGGGATCCACAATCTCAAAGCAGCTATGGTTTCAATTTCCAAAATCGTAACAAAGGGCAAACATTTCTCATGAAGATCGAAAAGAAGCAGAGAGTACAAATCATACTTGAAACCGACACCAATCAACAATCTTTGAGAAGGAGTGGGGAAGGAGGAAGAAGAAATCTGAAGAAATATGTATTGGTTGAACTTTGGAGTTGCCGAAAAAGTCTGGTTGGTCACCGGAGGAGTCTAGTTGAAATCCCTAAAATTATCTTCTAACTTTTAAAACCCTAAATCAGTCGGTTTTTTTTTAAAAATAATACAAAAGGCGACGCCTTTCTTGCCTCTCGCCTTTTGTCACCATGGTGTCGTCGCCTTTTGGAGATTGCCTCGCCACAAAGCTGAAAGGTAATGAAGGGTCGCCTTGCCTCACCTCTCGCCATTGGCGATGAGGTGATCGTCTTTCACAACATTGGAAACATTTCTCATGAAGATAAAAAATAAGTAGAGAGTACAAATCGTACTTGAAACTGACACCAATCAACACTCTTTGAGAAGGAGTGGGGAAGTAGTCCACAAAGATGCCAGTAAAGTTGAAATGGAGAGGATAGATGAGGATGAGAACATATACGAGACATTAAACATACCTAGGTCAAGGATTGAGCTTTTGGGATTCACAATTGACGGATCTTCAGGAGACCCCTCAGTTTCCTTATCGAGCCTCTTCAAGCCAGCCACATTGGGAATTTGCACTAGTGAAAGAGGACAACAAAAGCTTCCTCCTGGGCCAGCCATTTATCTTTAGTTTCTTTTTGATTTACCCTAAAATTAAATATGACCCATAGGCCACTTTCATATATATTAAAAATAACCAAAATGTCTACAAAAGCAAATTAACAAAAAGTCCCAAGGGGCAAACTATGCAAGCGCAACATGCACAAAAATATAATGAGAGTAGGTCGTCAGGATGTTTTTGCCATGTCCAACATAATATTCTAAGTAGATAGCACCATAGGTGTGATAACACACTAATTAAATGTGCTAAAAATAGAAATAAGGCAAGCCTAGAACTATGGAAAGAAAGAATGTTTCTCCAAAATACAAGCGCTATTGGTTGTAACAAGTAACTTTGAAAAACACAAGAACAAATTAAGCAAAAATTATTACAAAAACCAATGCTTTCTTTAGGAAGTTTAAAACTCAAAAACAAAAAAGAAAGAAAAAACAAGTGTATGACTCTGGTATAATATGATCTTACACTTGTTTTTTTCTTTATTTTTTGTTTTTGAGTTTAAAACTTCCTAAAGAAAGCATTGGTTTTTGTAATAATTTTTGCTTAATTTGTTCTTGTGTTTTTCAAAGTTACTTGTTACAACCAATAGCGCTTGTATTTTGGAGAAACATTCTTTCTTTCCATAGTTCTAGGCTTGCCTTATTTCTATTTTTAGCACATTTAATTAGTGTGTTATCACACCTATGGTGCTATCTACTTAGAATATTATGTTGGACATGGCAAAAACATCCTGACGACCTACTCTCATTATATTTTTGTGCATGTTGCGCTTGCATAGTTTGCCCCTTGGGACTTTTTGTTAATTTGCTTTTGTAGACATTTTGGTTATTTTTAATATATATGAAAGTGGCCTATGGGTCATATTTAATTTTAGGGTAAATCAAAAAGAAACTAAAGATAAATGGCTGGCCCAGGAGGAAGCTTTTGTTGTCCTCTTTCACTAGTGCAAATTCCCAATGTGGTCGGCTTGAAGAGGCTCGATAAGGAAACTGAGAGGTCTCTTGAAGATTCGTCAATTGTGAATCCCAAAGCTCGATCCTTGACCTAGGTATGTTTAATGTCTCGTATCTGTTCTCATCTATCCTCTCCATTTCAACTTTACTGGCATCTTTGTGGACTACTTCCCCACTCCTTCTCAAAGAGTGTTGATTGGTGTCGGTTTCAGGTATGATTTGTACTCTGCTTCTTTTCGATCTTCATGAGAAATGTTTCCAATGTTGTGAAAGACGATCGCCAATGGTGAGGCAAGGCGACCCTTCATCGCCTTTGTGGCGAGGTGATCTCCAAAAGGCGACGCCATGGTGACAGAAGGCAAGAAAGGCGTCGCCTTTTATATTTATTTTAGAAGCGATCGATTTAGGGATTTAAATGTTAAAAGATAATTTTAGGGTTTTCGTCTAGACTCCTCCGGCGACCAGCCAGACTTTTCCGGCTACTCCAAAGTCCAACCAATATATATTTCTTCTTCCTCCTTTCCCACTCCTTCTCAAAGAGTGTCGGTTTCCGGTATGATTTGTACTCTCTGCTTCTTTTCGATCTTCATGAGAAATGTTTGCCCTTTGTTTCTAATTTGGGAATTGAAACCATAGCTACTCTAAGATTGAGGATCTCCACCTCTTTTTCTTTTCTCTTCTAGTTTCTATCTCTTTTTTTTCGATCTTTTCCGCCTTTTCTTTTTTCGATTTCTTCCTCTCCTTTTTTCTGTTCTTCACTTCTCCTCTTTCTTTGAATTTTTTCTATTCCTCTCCTCCTATGTTACTTTACTGCAGCTTTTCCGTTCTCCATTGAGTTACTTTTTTGTTTTTAGCTTTTCCAATGTGCTGTAGTGGCCTCTAAACAAATTTGTGGAATCCTAATGTGCCTCCTCCTCCCTTCTAGTGGACCATCTCTAACCAATATTTACATGAAATTTTGTGTTTGTTTTATGTAGGGGGGAATAAATTTGTGGGAATATAGCATACTTTGTACGTAGAAGAGAGATGGTTAACCACCCCAATGAAGCATGTGAATTGTGCAACCGTACGTGCTTGTTGATACATGGAGAAAGGGATCCCTCACCAATTGTTAGCTCTTTCTTCAAAGTCATGATCGATGACAGTTTTCTCCAAGTTCTGGTATAATTTGATCTTTACATATAGTATTACCTGCTCTTACAGCCATTATATTTAACTTCCTTCAATTTGTTATGTAACTCCCTATTGCAATGTGATCCTGTAACACTTCTTTATTTAAACCATCCTATTTTAGTATGTGGATTACTCCTCTATTTGAACCATCCTATTTTAGTATGTGTATTACTCCTCTATTTAAACCATCCTATTTTAGTATGTGTATTACATCTTCGTCTATCATATCATTCTCTTAAAAAGCTCGGCCTAGATAATTAGGTTGCCTGCATTTAGGACCACAAACCCTTGACAAATCCTAAGTTGAGCGTTGGTTTTGTATTAATAGAACTTCATAATCTCATTTGAGTTGTCGAATGAATTCTGTCAATTGTAGCATTTCGTGTTTCAAACTTCGTAGAGATTACACTGCCTATAGAATATGAAAAAAAAAGAGGAATGTTAGAGAGATGACCTCCTTTTTTTTGACAAAGGTACTATTGTATTCTTAACAGTTAAGGAATGCTGGCCACCTTAAAAAATTGGTACACAGAAGTTAGAATCTAGATTTACTAGGCTCCTAAGAAATCTACAGAGTCATCTACTTCCTCTATACAGTTCTCTTTACACCAAAAAAATAGGGAGACTAGGCAACTCCATTTAACATCATGAATGGACCTAGATTTGTCTTCGGAGAGATGACCCTTCTTGGCTGGAATCTCTATCAGTAAACTCATCAAAGTAGGTTTTAGGGGATAAGGACAAATGTGATATCTAATCAAGAAAGTAAATTGGAGACTTAGACAGATAGCATTATTAGAAGTGTGTAGGGGAAGGTGGGTGAAGTATGACTATATTTCTGCCGGGGAAAGTGTGGTTGGAATACTCATTCCTTGAGATGATAGAAAGTTGAGTATGTAGAGGTTAACAAGAGGGAGTTTGTGTCAGGGGTGCGGTTTAGATACATTAGCAATGGAATGAAGTGAGAATTTAGGGGATCTCTATGGACCTATGAGGGAGGGGTCAAAGAAGTCTTTTTGGAAGGAGTTAGAAGCTGAGATATACCTAGGTAATGAAACTGTTTAAACCAATAACCACTTGTTCCTACACTGCAGACTGACCTCACAAATGTGGGCATTATTCCTTTAGTCTATCCGAAACCAACTGGATAATGCCAGAACACACAACAGACCTTCTCAGTTGTTGGATCAGAAGAGGAGGCAGCAAGAGTTAGAAGAAATGGTGGAGAATTGTCCCACCTTGTATATGTTGGACGGTATGGAAAGAGAGAAACAATAGATGTTTTGAAGATAGCTTTAGTTCCATTCATAAGATTTAGTGGAATTGTATTATAACCTTTTACTTTTGGTGTAAAGAAGAATGAGTAGAGGATGTTGAACAGTTAATAGATTTGTTAGGATTACTATAATTTTTGGAGGTCTCCAGCATATCCTTAATGTTGAAGAGTACATTACCACTATTCAAAAGAAATGTAGAGGAAGATGGAGGGATCTTTTTTTAGATTTGAGAACGTGTGGCTAAGTGTGATTGATTTTGGGGATAAAGTGATTGGTTGGTGATGGAGTTATGCAGTGGAGGGGAGACTTTCCTTAAAGTCTTGCCAAGAAGTTGAAATTGCTTAAAAAAATACAATGTTGTGGAAGTGTTGGGGAGGCTAGAGGTGAAACTGAAATAGATTATAAATGAAGTGGGGAATTAGATATGGCTGAAGTGAGGAGGGAGTTAGAAGAGAGGGAGGAGAGAAAAAAGGGGTTGGAAAGGGAGTTAGCCAATTCAGCCTTGGTCCAAGAGGTGAGTTGGAGAAAGATCGAAGGCGCTATGGTTAAATGAGGGGGACTCAAATACAAAAAATTTATATGGGTATTAGTCGAGAATACACAAAAGAACTTCATAGAGTTGTTAAAATGGGGTGATGCATGTTGGGGAGGAGGAAGTAGAGGGAGAAATTGTAGGTTTATACAACCCTATTAGAATAGGAATAAGTTTATACAATCCTATTAGAACAGGAATAGAAATAGAAATAGAAATAGGAATACTAAATAGTATCCTACTTGGTAAAGGATTGTATTCTAGGGTCTATAAATAGGGTCTCAATGTAATAATGTAAACAACAACAATTCACAACAATTCAATAATATTCTTTTCCTATATTTCTCACATGGTATTAGAGCCTCTACGATCTTGGTAAACAATCAAAGTGCTTCCGCTGCCGGCGGTTGGCTATTACTCATATATGCCGCCCGTCTGGCCAACAATTATGTTAGCAAAAGTTGGGTCACCGTGTATCTTTCTGGTGACTATTTTCTCATATTTGATTTATGTAAGCACCATGCCATCATTCTGGTGACTACTTTCTTATAGCTAACTTGTAGCACCGTGCCATCTTTTCGGTGATTACTTTTTCATATTTAATTTGTGTAGCACTGTGCCATCATTTCAGTGACTACTTTTTCATATATAATTTTTGTAGCACCGTGCCATCCTTTCGGTGACTACCTTTTTTGCATATCTGATTTGCGTAGCACTGTGCATCTCTTCGGACTACTTTTCATATTTAATTTGCGTAGTATCGTGGATTTTTCCGAACTATTTTCTCATAGCTGAGTTGCATAGCATCATGTGTACTCAGATTTGATTTGCATAGTTCCATTCGTCTTTTCGGTGACTCCTCAAATCTGATTTGCGTAGGGTTGTGCCATCATTCCGACCCTACCCATATAATTTTTCTTTTTTCAGTAGGGTTGAATTGTATGCACTAGCTTGAGGGGGAGTGTTAGAATAGGAATAGGTTTATACAATCCTATTAGAAAAGGAATAGGTTTATACAATCCTATTAGAAAAGGAATAGGTTTATACAATCCTATTAGAAAAGGAATAGGTTTATACAATCCTATTAGAAAAGGAATAGGTTTATACAATCCTATTAGAAAAGGAATAGGTTTATACAATCCTATTAGAAAAGGAATAGGTTTATACAATCCTATTAGAAAAGGAATAGGTTTATACAATCCTATTAGAAAAGGAATAGGTTTATACAATCCTATTAGAAAAGGAATAGGTTTATACAATCCTATTAGAAAAGGAATAGGTTTATACAATCCTATTAGAAAAGGAATAGGTTTATACAATCCTATTAGAAAAGGAATAGGTTTATACAATCCTATTAGAAAAGGAATAGGTTTATACAATCCTATTAGAAAAGGAATAGGTTTATACAATCCTATTAGAAAAGGAATAGGTTTATACAATCCTATTAGAAAAGGAATAGGTTTATACAATCCTATTAGAAAAGGAATAGGTTTATACAATCCTATTAGAAAAGGAATAGGTTTATACAATCCTATTAAAATAGGAATAAATTTATACAATCCTATTAGAACAGGAATAGGAATAGAAATAGAAATAGGAATACTAAATAGTATCCTACTTGGTAAAGGATTGTATTCTAGGGTCTATAAATAGGGTCTCAATGTAATAATGTAAACAACAACAATTCAATAATATTCTTCTCATATATTTCTCACACTATAATTTTTGGAGGTCTCCAGCATATCCTTAATGTTGAAGAATACATTACTACTATTCAAAAGAAATGTAGAGGAAGATGGAGGGATCTTTTTTTAGATTTGAGAACGTATGGCTAAGTGTGATTGATTTTGGGGATAAAGTGATTGGTTGGTGGTGGAGGGGAGACTTTCTTAAAGTCTTGCCAAGAAGTTGAAATTGCTTAAAAAAATACAATGTTGTGGAAGTGTTGGGGAGGCTAGAGGTGAAACTGAAATAGATTATAAATGAAGTGGGGAATTGGATATGGCTGAAGTGAGGAGGGAGTCAGAAGAGAGGGAGAAGGAGAGAAAAAGAGGGTTGGAAAGGGAGTTAGCCAATTCAGCTCCTTTTTTTTGACAAAGGTACTATTGTATTCTTAACAGTTAAGGAATGCTGGCCACCTTAAAAAATTGGTACACAGAAGTTAGAATCTAGATTTACTAGGCTCCTAAGAAATCTACAGAGTCATCTACTTCCTCTATACAGTTCTCTTTACACCAAAAAAATAGGGAGACTAGGCAACTCCATTTAACATCATGAATGGACCTAGATTTGTCTTCGGAGAGATGACCCTTCTTGGCTGGAATCTCTATCAGTAAACTCATCAAAGTAGGTTTTAGGGGATAAGGACAAATGTGATATCTAATCAAGAAAGTAAATTGGAGACTTAGACAGATAGCATTATTAGAAGTGTGTAGGGGAAGGTGGGTGAAGTATGACTATATTTCTGCCGGGGAAAGTGTGGTTGGAATACTCATTCCTTGAGATGATAGAAAGTTGAGTATGTAGAGGTTAACAAGAGGGAGTTTGTGTCAGGGGTGCGGTTTAGATACATTAGCAATGGAATGAAGTGAGAATTTAGGGGATCTCTATGGACCTATGAGGGAGGGGTCAAAGAAGTCTTTTTGGAAGGAGTTAGAAGCTGAGATATACCTAGGTAATGAAACTGTTTAAACCAATAACCACTTGTTCCTACACTGCAGACTGACCTCACAAATGTGGGCATTATTCCTTTAGTCTATCCGAAACCAACTGGATAATGCCAGAACACACAACAGACCTTCTCAGTTGTTGGATCAGAAGAGGAGGCAGCAAGAGTTAGAAGAAATGGTGGAGAATTGTCCCACCTTGTATATGTTGGACGGTATGGAAAGAGAGAAACAATAGATGTTTTGAAGATAGCTTTAGTTCCATTCATAAGATTTAGTGGAATTGTATTATAACCTTTTACTTTTGGTGTAAAGAAGAATGAGTAGAGGATGTTGAACAGTTAATAGATTTGTTAGGATTACTATAATTTTTGGAGGTCTCCAGCATATCCTTAATGTTGAAGAGTACATTACCACTATTCAAAAGAAATGTAGAGGAAGATGGAGGGATCTTTTTTTAGATTTGAGAACGTATGGCTAAGTGTGATTGATTTTGGGGATAAAGTGATTGGTTGGTGGTGGAGGGGAGACTTTCTTAAAGTCTTGCCAAGAAGTTGAAATTGCTTAAAAAAATACAATGTTGTGGAAGTGTTGGGGAGGCTAGAGGTGAAACTGAAATAGATTATAAATGAAGTGGGGAATTGGATATGGCTGAAGTGAGGAGGGAGTCAGAAGAGAGGGAGAAGGAGAGAAAAAGAGGGTTGGAAAGGGAGTTAGCCAATTCAGCTTTGGTCCAAGAGGTGAGTTGGAGAAAGATCGAAGGCGCTATGGTTAAATGAGGGGGACTCAAATACAAAAAATTTATATGGGTATTAGTCGAGAATACACAAAAGAACTTCATAGAGTTGTTAAAATGGGGTGATGCATGTTGGGGAGGAGGAAGTAGAGGGAGAAATTGTAGATTTTTACGAACTTTTGTTCAAAGTGGAAGCAGATTGAAGACTGAATTTGGGGTTTTGGGGGGGGGGGGTTAAGGTTCAATCAAATTTCATTGATGGCATCACGAAGATGCAGTCAGTACATGTAACTAATGTTTTTTGTCATGTCGCATTGGCCATGTACTTTGTAAAGCATGTAAACTAACCTATCACACATCGTATGATTCCGTTCCTTAGCTACTTGTAAAAGTTCTCTCTTCAAATTTCTCAATATCAACTGTAAAAATGATTTGTTTAATATAATTCAAATCTTGCTTGAATTAGATCACGTGATTCTGTACTTGCAATACCATGAAAAAGCTAGATCCTGTGTTTATGTTCTGAAGCTGTAATTTTTTTATTACATCCGGGAAAGGGATGTGAATTATGTGCTACCTCCACCTAAACTGTAAAAAGCCGGGAGCTCACCAAGTGAGCTAGCCACCTTCAACCCTGGAAGTTGTTATTTTCTTATGCCACCGTAGCTTATAGTTTAGTTGTAACAGTTGGGAGCCTCCCTCACAACAAGTGTGAGTACAATTCACACTATCCCCTTCCCCTTCCTAAGTAATGGAAGAAAAAGTACTTCAAAAATAAGCTTATGTAGCTTCTGAATGAAAAATATTGTTACAGTCCTTTATGATTCAATGCTCATGCATTTCTATTCTTCCGAAATAGTTGGCATACATTTGTTGCTTTAACTTCCCTAATTGTTATTTTATGCATTTAAATTGAGCACATGACAGGACAGAACTAGTGTAAAAATTCTGGTTTTTTTTGGATAACCAAATGCTCAATGTACAATTCAAACACTTCCAATGGTGTAGTGCGTAAATTATTTCTTTACCCTAGATGTTGAGTTACATATCAGTTTATAGACATTCATATTCTTAAGTACAAACTTTTCAGTACATTCCCCCCAGATTTGCTCGATTGATATCTCACTTGATGGATCAAGAAATTGAGCTGGAGGACTCTACTGGACAGCGATGGAAGGTGGGAATTAGTAATCATAATGGTTCACTTGCAATTCGACAAGGATGGCAGACCTTTTCGTCTGAGCATGATCTAAAATTGGGAGACTTCTTAGTCTTCCATTATATTCAGGGTCAGCACTTTGTTGTTCAAATATATGGAACGAGTGGTTGTCAGAAGATCAACTTTTACAATGGCACTTGCACGGGGAAGGAAAGACCGAGAACTAATTCTACAGCAACTTCTCATGATGAGCTGTCCACGGCAACTGACATAAATTTAAGGGAAAAAAAGAATTCAACACCCTCAGTTACTGCTGTACCAGTGTCTGATAGAGCTGGACAACTGCCAGTGACCACAATTTTTGCATCAAACATTGATGCTGACACTTTGAAATCAGCTGAAAATGGTGTCAAGGGTAATTTTCTTCCTTTCATATATGTCATATTTTCTTAATATATCCTTTCCGTGTCTGGAGAGATTGGAAGGGAAAAGGAAAGGAAATGAAAAATACAAAGAGGGAAAATGAAAAGGAAGTGAGAATTTTTCATGGCGCTAAAAGAAAGCTGATCTCTCTCTCTCTCTCTCTCCCCCCACTTCCCATCCTACTTCTCTAGTTAAACGAAAAAAGAAAAAAGAAAAAAGAAAATTTTGTACTGTTCCCTTCCTCTTCCTCATTTGCCATGCAAATTTGTGATTAAATTTGATTTGCTCCAGTATATATTTTCAACAACACAATGGTGTGTTTTGTTAGGCAGTCATTTGGTGTCTTTATACTAAGCAAATTCTTGTTCTGCTGTCTTAAATGTAGTTTTATTAATCTCTGACTTATTTGTGAGACTAGAATTTTCCTTTATCCTTTATTTTATTTTGATTTCTACCTGTTATTTGAGGGGCTCTGCGTCATGCAGGTAAGAAAACAAGAGTAGATAAGCGAGAACTGAAGCAGATGGCAGCAAAAACGCGTTGCCCTTCTAAAAAGTTAAATGGTATGACATTTTCATATTTAGTTTATAATTCATTTGATATCCTTTTCTCATAATTACTCATCATCCGATGCATGTATTCACTGCTCAATCCCTTTGACCGTCCTTCCTGCTATTTTCTTATTTGATGTATACTGCATGAGCAAATGCAGGAAAAGAGCCAAAAATAATAGAGAAAGATGGTCAAGGTTGCCCTGAGGCTGAAATTGGTAATAACAAAGCTATAGAAAGCGAGCCTGCTGATTCAGGAGACACATCATTTCTTGATGCTGGCAACTTCTCATGTTTGCTGCGAGTGGATGGTCGATCTTTTCTGGTGAAAATCTTACTGAAATATCATTCCTTGTGCTATTAGCTGGATTTTGAGGAATTTATTTATTTGATTTCTTCCGTGCAACATATACACTGCTTGAACAGTGTATATCCCTGCAGCATATACTGTTCATTGGAGTGACATGCATTTTAATATTGTTTTCACCTGTCCTTGGCATTGAATAATCATATACTTTCGGCCTAAATACTCTACAATATTTTCGATAATTCATGAAGATTGACGACAAAGGCTGATTACTTTGTCAGTAAACAAAATGTTTGAAGGAATAAACAATATGATTGCAAGCCAATTTTACTAATATCAGTGCATATTTATTTATACAAAAGGAGGATATCAGGAAATCACCACCGAGTTCATAGTAAATTATTATGCTAATTTTGATTGCAAGCATCACTCTGATGGTAAAGTTTATATTCTCTTTAATCTAAAAATTAATGAGAATAAGGACAATCTTTTTCAAAGAACCTAGTCAACATGATTGGCAATTGACATTGTTTTCTTGTCTTTTTTCTTGGTCATAGCAAGTGGCTGATTTCAACAAACTTTTTATTCTATGAAGAATGAACATTCTGTCTATTTCTCAAGGAGAAAGAGTTTTGATGTTCCTTGGAACATTGCCATATATCATTTTCTTTGAAGCAGGGTCTACATTCCATTGATATTTGAATATTTGGCACTGCCAATCATCTGACTACACTGTTCATTCTTTTTCTTTTTGCCGTGATTTACGGCAGAAAGCTTTCTCCTTAGAGAGTTAGTCCACTCCACATTGTGCTTAACTACGTGTATTTGGCTGAAATTGTCTTTTGATTCCGAGGTATATATGCTTTTATTCTCCTCAAGCCTTAAATTATTGTGTAGGAATTACCACAAAGCTGGCCAGAAGTTTTACCAAGCAGCAAAAAGATCAGAAAGATTATTATTTATCTCAAAGGACCAGATAATAGAACCAGGCCTGTCATCTATCATGAAGATTTCGGTTCTAAGGTTTTGACAGGAAACTGGGCATCATTTACTCAAGTGTATGGCCTAAAACTTGGAGATGAATGTCTATTCCAACTTTCAAATCTGTCAGAGCGCATGTTTACTGTGAAGGCAACCCACAAGGTAGATGGCACACAAACGACTTTGAGCTGATTATCGTGGGGCAGTTGTGAGAACAATGTAATGGGAGCTATGGCGAGATTTTACTTGATTTAAGCAAAATCTATAGTGGATAATGACTTTATTCATACTGTGCTTTATCTGTGAATGCTATGCTGATACTTTCTTTTAGCATCATCATCTACATTGAAGCAAATAAAGGGATCAAAGTTGCAGATTTGAAATGCACCCTTTTCTTTTTAATTAGAAACACAGCACAGCAGTTAGAAAAAGTAGCTCTGTCCGGCTGAACCCGTGCCACTAGTACTCATTGTGAGTGCCGCGGAGGTCAGAGCTGGCTATGCACCACTTGCAGGTGCCAACACATTTATATTTCAGTATGGGAAAAGTAGTCAACCTCCCCAAGTGTGAATGCCGCCATGGCTAAGGGTAGGCTTGTTGTCACCACACTTGCTAGTGTCATTGTTTGTCTTTAGATGTCATGATTCAGTTTCAGTGTTGATAAATTAATTGCTTATTTTATGTTACTGCATTTCATCATAATTGACTATCTTAGCTTATACTTGTATTTTTCACGAGATGGTGTTTTGAAAGGGTGATGTTTAATTTTGATTCCGTCGATTGAAGTTACTCATCTGGGTGGAAAGTACAGATAGAAAGACAAGCTAATTGTCAAATAATGTTGGTTCTTGGCTGGTATCAATAGATGGAACCACTAGTAAGACGATTTTTCCACTAGGTAGATTTGTGTATCCTTCTAGTTTCAAAGGCTTGAAAAAATAGAAAGTATAATAGTACGTCTAATTTGTCTTCAACTTTCAACTCCCAATTATACCTAGGAATGAAACCAATTAGACTTCCGCGGAAGTCAGACACGATGGGAGTTTGCATGTCTAGATAGAAAAGATATCATTGGACTATAGCACAAGATAACCCCAAAAGAATTATTATTATTTATGAAGCTTCTATAATTAGTGAAAGTTTCTATTTTAGATTGGAAATCTTCACTAGATTTTATTGTATACTGGTTATTGAGATAATCATAACTGCCTCTGGTCCCATAATACTCTTTTCCACATAGTTGGTTTCTCAAAATCAATTAATGTAGCTATTTTGATTCCTCATTCACCAACATATTCAAAAAGAAAATGTGCTGCAAATTATTCAAACTCCCACAAAGACCTGGATAGCATAGGAATATTTTCTTTGAGTAATTGTAATGACTCCATAAGTCATAACTCCAGGATTTTTGAAATATTATATGTCTTGTAATTGCCTCTTTAGATTTCTGTTGGACTTTCAACTATGGCATTTAAACTGTATAATATTTTTTAAAATAAAAAAATCAAGGGTATTTTTTTTTTTTAATGTTGTTTGAATGGTCAAGTTTAATTTACCTAAAAAGACAAAGACAAGGTCAGAGATTGGAAAATTTTGTATGGCACCAATGTTAACTTTACAGCTTGAAATAAATTAAATAACAATTTAAAAGTGAAGGGAGTTTTCTTCTTCCCAAATTTCTTTTGCTTTTTATATTCAATTCACTTAACTTAGTCATTTTTAAAAGCATCATTTATTAACAATCCAAGATGGACGTCAAATCATTTACTTAAATCATAATTAATGCTACTTTGAATTTTCCATTTAAATATTAGTACCTAATACTTAATTATTTTTTCATATTTTAATTAAATTTAAAATTATTTTTCCCGAATTTTCAACTTTATTTTTCGTCCATCACTTTTTTTTTCTGCAAAAAACCCTAATTTCACCAACTCTCTCAAGAAATTTTGAAAGCACAAAAAAAAAAATTAAAAAAAAAAAAAATTCTTTCCATTTTCATAAAATTAGTTTGTTCTTTTAAGTTCTGTTCTTTCTTCTGCAGTAACAGAGTATCAGTTAGTCATTAGATTTGCACTGCACATGGTCAGATGATCTTTCTTTAGATACAATTAATTCTAGCATTTGCAGATTTGCTGAGTTTGTACTTCTCTTGGTATTTTGCTTGTTATATATTTTAGCATTTGAAAAAAGATTGTATTTTTATTAGTATTTGTTATTATGGGGTTTTGAGTTCTTGAAAAACAAATATATTTTTGCTGTTTTGGGAGCGTAAGTTATTTGGAGTTGTCTTAAGGGTTTAAGGGGTTTTGAGTTCTTGAGTACAAAAATCTTTTTGCTGTTTTTGGGGCTTAAGTTATTTGGGGCTTAAGGGGTTTTGGTTATTTTATTATTGTGTATATGCATGGAGGAGAAAGAAGGAGTTAATAGTTCTGGGGTTACAGTTAAAGGTGATGAAGCTCCTGAGAGCTACAGAGTGGTTCCCAGGAGTGAAAGTAATAATATTGAGTTTAGTGGATCAATTGTAGCAACAACACCTGTAAATGTGACAGAAGAGACGAAGAAGAAGAGGGGTAGACCTAGGAAATATGGACCAGATGGTAAACCAGCCGTTGCATTATCACCAATGCCAATATCAGCTTCAATTCCTCTTGCTGGAGATTTTTCAGCTTGGAAAAACAGTGGAAGTCGCCCCGTTGATTCCTTTAAGAAGAAGAACAAGTTTGAGGTCGAAACTCCAGGTAACATTTTAGCCCTCCTATTGATCGTTTTTCCCCCCTATTTGCATGAGTGGGTCTGTTTTATATTTTAGAATTTGAATGGAATTATAAAATGTTTCAGTATTCATGCTGTTGAATAGTTATTTGTGATTAATAATGTTTCAGTCTGAGGCAGGGTCTACTGGTGTGGATTTGTTTGCCCTGTTTCTGTTTGTTTCTGCATTGTTCATTGAAGTGAGTTATTGTAAGTATTTAACTTAAACTGGGGTCCCCCCTATCATTGGGTCTTGATTTCCTGGCATTTATGATGTTGAAGAAGATACTAAAAGCGGAGAATCTTACTGGATCTAAAGCTGCAATTTTCTTGATGCATTGAACCAAATAGAGTTGGACCACTTGGCTGTGTATTCTTTTAAGCTGATATGACTGGACAGGTCTGTCTTTACCCAGTAATTGTGAGATGGAATAAGAAAAAATAACCAAGTGCATATAACGAAGATGCCGATTAACTTTTGCAAAGACAAGAAAGTGATGGAATCTATATTGTTCTGACCCATCTGACTCACATTCTTGTACTATTCATCTTTTTACATGACAAAAAAATATTGAGCTCAAAATCAGTTGATTCAGTTATAGTTGTACACGTAATCATAATGTAGATGGGACCTGGCACAAAAACATTTGCTATTTGAATATTCAGTCATTCACTATTGTGCAAGATATTCTACTGCTGTGATAGAGAATACTAGACATTCAGTTAGAACAGTAGTCATATATGTTTGCATGGCCCTATTAAAGTAATATTCTTTTACCACCTCATTGATCGTTTATCTTCTCGATTTCTACAAGATTAAATTTTGTATTTAGCAGCGATGTGTTTTAAGATAGTTTATTCTCTCAGAATAATAAAAGGGTTATCATCATTATGAAACATTTGAAGATATATTTCATGAATGCATGAGAGTAACAAAATTCTGTTTATTATGCTGTTTATCAAATTTTGGAAACTAGAATGCAAATATACATGGACATTTGTCAGTAGATGTAACTTTGTTATTGACAATATATCAACAGATGTAATACTGTTGTCATTTATAATCATGCAAAAATGAAGTGCCTCAGTGAATATATTAATAAGTCATCAAAAAAAATAAAAAAATGAATCCATTAATAGACTTGACCAGTGAACCATTTGGAAACTTAGTAGCATCTAGTTTTCTCCAATTTTCCGTTGAAGCTGGTTAAACTTGCTCTCTTTGTGTTTTGCTTCAATTTGCTTCAACATAATACTATCTAAATATCATGCTAATGAATTTTACTTGTTGGAAGCTGATATTACATTTAAAAGTTGAGTTCCCTGTGTCTTGAAGGTTTAACTTTGTTTGAGCTAATACTAAACTCTGTATTTCCTTAGGGGAGGAGATGGCATACTCTGTCGGTGCAAATTTTACACCGCATGTGATCACTGTTAATACTGGTGAGGTAAGCCTTATGTATTAATGAAATTCAAATGCTCATACTCCATTATGCCTACTTTATGACCTGAAGAAAGGAAGGATGGTGTTTGTTGAAGTTAGAGTTATGGAGAGACTTATCTTATATGTTCCTTCCATGAGTTATGCCTAATTATAAAAATTTTAGAGTAGGGATACTAGAGAAGTTAATCTGATGTTATGGACTACTACACAAATAGTGGTGTAACTGAAATAGAAGGAACGGTAAACCTAACTAATGAAAGTTCATCTGTGCTCAATTTTTCAAACATCATCTTAGCTTCTAGGTATACCCTTGCGAAATTGGGTTAAATATGGCTTCTAGCTGGCGATATGTGCAAATGTGTTTCTAGGAAAGCACTGATAAAGCACGAATAGGGATACTGGGTCAGACATGTTGATCAAATATGTGATTCTATTTTCCATATGTCAAGTTCAAATTTCTCTAGTGTATTTGACTAGTCAAAAAAGAGTAACTATAAGAGGTGACTTGTAAGCAAAAAAGAACTTCCATACAGATATATTTTGGCTATAAATGTCAGTCAGCCAAAGACGTCAGACTTATATTTCACACTATCTGCGAAACGATGAATAGTGAAAACACATGCCACCCCTTGGTGAAGACAATAGAGAAGGTATATTGGTGAAAAGTAAGAATTTTCTCCTGAATTTGACATGAGCTATAATTATAATTTCTGATGTATTTTTCCTTCTCAAAAAAATAATTTCTGATGTATTTTAGGAGAAACAGGTTAAAGCACCTAAATAAAGTGTGCTTCTCGGAACATGGTATTTTGCATTGTGATAATTCAATCTGACGGAAGAAACATGTACTGAACCTTTGTTTCCTTTAAAGGATGATGTATTTTTAATTCCTGGAATAAGCTTAAATGGCTGCCTTCTCTATTCTCCATCTCCTCCTCCTTGTTTTTGACCCCACCAACTGAGTGCTTCATTTGAATTATAGAAATAAAATTAGGTCTTCTGCTTAGACCCTTGGGTAATAGGAATATATTATATGGCTGTCTCTTATGCAGTAGAGATTGACGCATGCATGTCATTGCTGTATTCTATATTTAAAATTTTCTTTGGTATGAAATATGAAAATCAATTCCCACTAAAGCAGGTGAGTTGGATGTACAAAAGTTTCACATACACCTACAAATGGAG